GTCAGGAAACTGGTTCGCTAATTTATTAGTTTGACTTGCTAACTTGGGTTGGATTCTAATACCATGAATAAGTCGTGTCATGTCATTTTCAAAATCAATAAGAATTAATTAATAAGCTATGCTTGAATAGAAGTGAATTTTTCATAAGAACAGAACAACTCAATTTACTTAGTCTAAGTCTATTCTGTTTCCGTATGGATATAGTTCTGAATTATTTCAAGTAATTTTTGAAACTGTTGGATGCTTTCAGAGTTCAGAGTCAGTGACAAATTTACTGGCCATGGCAGTTGGTATAAAGCAGAAAGAAAACGTTAATAATGTCGTAAACAAGGTGAGAAAATGAAAATTCAGTTTGTCATACTTTTGATGACTCTCTCTCTCTCTCTCTCTCTCTCTCACACACATACACACACTCTTTCTTGAAATTTCTTGCTTTTTCATTGCAGTTTACAACAAGTAATGATTTTGTGGTGATGCTTTTCCACTATGATGGCATTGTTGATCAATGGAGGGATCTGGAATGGTGTGATCATGCCATTCATGTTTCTGCTGTCAATCAAACTAAATGGTGAACTTGCTTCTCTTGTCCTTTATAACATTCATCAACTTTCTTCAGAAATAAAGAATATGGGACTTATATAGATACATCTGACTTCACGAAGTTAAAACCTCTAGTTAAGCTAGATCAATCCTCTTAACAATTGATCCAATCCCTCGGTTGTTTATTTTCTTTTTTTAATTGAAAAACTCCACCAAAATCTATCATTCTCAGCTAGAGGATTCAAATCAACAATTTCTGTCTCAAGTTTGTCTACAATTCAAAATTGAAATTTTGTTTATCAATTAACACAATTTTCATCAAGAGAAAAACAAATGTAGCTGTCAATGTGGATAATTAGTTACTTCTGAATAATAAGTTTATACTTTTGCTATAAATGAGTTAGGTGGTTCGCCAAGCGATTCTTGCACCCAGATATCATTTACGAGTATTCATACATCTTCTTGTGGGATGAAGACCTTGGAGTGGAACATTTTGATGTCCAAAAGTAGGCGTGTTTGTATTTTCTTTCACACTTTTCTTTTAGATAAATTTTCCTATACATCATGCAAAGTTTGATGAACGAATCACACTGTTCATGACTTATGGATAATATTTGCTATAAATTTTATTATATAAATTATCTGTTGGCATAATTTTTTGTGCATGCAGATATTTATCCATAGTCAATGAAGAAGGGCTTGAGATATCACAACCAGCACTGGATCCTGATGTATCAGAGGTTCACCATGATCTCACAGCAAGGAACAACAAGTTAAATGTTCACAGGTTTGTCAGAACATCTTTTTATTTGGACACAGTAACAAATGAAAACTCACTCAGTCAATGCCCATGAATGGTTTTGTTGAATATCTAATATGACTCACATGAGAACTTATTGGATTCAGAACTTTTTGACAAATGACAAACCTATCAGAACCTGTGAAATTTAATTCTGGTTAAAAGGATGGGGAGATTAATTGGTCATAGAAGCTCAGAAAAGCAAGTTCAAGAAAAGTTCTATTATGATTCTTACAACTAATAACTTTGAGCTCTGGTGAAATTTTTTAAGTTTGATATATAAGTGGAGATACATGTGTAATGTGGAACTATTAATTAAGGCTTTATTGAATTCAGCTTTCAGTCAAATTTTTGCATAGTAATCTATTCTTTTGACATTGAGTTATATTAACAGGAAAATCCACAAGACGCTAAGAGGTGGCAGAAAATGTGATCAAAACAGCACAGGGCCCCCATGCACAGGGTAAAAATTCTGCATTAATTCAAATGCTGTGTACTTCGCTGCTTCAAAACTTGTTTTTCTCTGCCGGTGCACATGATGCAGACGAATTTCATGTCTCATGTGTAGATATACTCTTCTTCTTTTTCTTCTTTTCTCCCCTTTTATATACAGATTGAAGAAGAAATTTTATTAAGAAAGAACAATAATATAAATGGGATTAAACATGAAGCAAAGCTGCTCAATGCCTTGGCATATCTAAACAAGCTCTGAATTTTACTACAGCTTCAAACAAAATCTTTACCCATAGGGTTGAAAATTCCTCGCTAATTAAATATTTTCAAGTGGCATCATTAACTGGATATTGTCATTAAGTTTCATCCTCCACTCTGCATTTTTTTCCCGTTTCTTCAGTATTTTATTTGTATGAAGTAAGACTAAATTATATGAATTCTCATTCCAGGTTTGTGGAGATGATGGCTCCTGTGTTCTCAAAGGCATCTTGGCGTTGTGTATGGCATATGATTCAGGTTTGTCATATAAAATTTAGTTGAATTGAGTATAACTCAACCAAACATTTGAAGCTGATAGCTTCTTAAAATTTTTCCCAGCTTGATTTAAAACCAAGTAAATCACTTTCTAACAGAATATGCCATTGTAGACCTTACACTCAGAATTGAATTTCATTGTCAACCAAGGGCATGAAAAGTTGAAGTCTTTCCTCTATCAGGGTGGCTCATGTTACTGCTATAGCATTAATGTATTATCCCAAAATGAACTTGTTAAATGAATGAAGTTCCTTATCTCATGACTAATTCCAAATTAAACTTAAAAATATGATCAATAATGAATTCAGGCTCCATGATGTTTTGCCTTTATGCTAAGTAACAGGCATTCTTCCCTGCACCTTTTGACAGAACGATTTAGTTCACGCATGGGGTTTGGACTTTCAGCTAGGTTATTGTTCACAGGTAATTTTCATCTGGCCAGATAAGTTTCTTTTATATATTTTTATTTACTTTATTTTTATTGGGAAGCATTCCTTTCGCAGGGTGATAGGACTACAAACATTGGTATAGTTGATTCTCAGTATTTAGTACACTATGGCATACCAACACTTGGTGGCTTGACAGCAAACAAGGTTAGAAACTTGACCATCCAGGCATTTTGTTTTTGCTGGGGAAAATATAATTTTTAGTCCATGAACTTGTTTTCATTTATTAATTATCAATTCAGTTCTTTAACTTTGGCTCGAAATAACTTCGTCTTTATACTTTCTTGACTCAAAACAACTCAATTTCTATAATTTGTTGGCTCGGTATAATTTAGAAACTTAAAATTATATTATCCCTTCTTGTTAATACATTTAGGGATCATAAGAACTAACTAGTAACCTCCTCTTTTATCACCACCAAATTTATATTATCTTACCTTAACTCTCTCTCTCTCTCTCTCTCTCTTCCTCCTATGATGTTTCTACTGTTATCCTGTTTAATATAATCAACAGTTGGTTTAACTAATTATTGCAGACATCTACAACACATAGTCAAGGTGATCAAAATGCAAAAGTGTTGAATAAGGAAATGGTATTTAATAGAAGCGCAAGTTCTCTTTATTCAATTATTTAGTCTTTCAAACGGTAAATAATTGCCTGTGGGTTTGCAGGAGAAAATGCTGTCAAATCAAACTGATGCTAGGTCTGAGGTGAGCCTTCAATTCTATTCTCCAAGCAATGAATGACAAATTAAAATTTGGTCTTCCAGGGGTTTTGTTGCCAAATATCTAGATATGATCAGTCATTAGAATAAAATAACCCATGAGTAAACATCTGTTTTGGCAATCTCTGTAATTTGACATGATATAAGCTAAAACTAGAGATCACTGATCCATCTATGATCATGCCCTCTAGGGAAATAAATGGCTGTAGTATTATGCAGCGTTTCATTTATTGGTTATTTTGACAGGTAAGAAAGCAATCCTATGTTGAACTTGAGACGTTCAAGAATAGATGGAAAAAGGCAGTCCTGGAAGATTCTTGCTGGACTGATCCTTTTCGATCACCAACACAACAGAACTAACTACAGTAATATTTTCTGTCCTTTTTTCCAAAAAAATTACCATCAATATTATTTACTCTTCAGACTATAAGAGAGAATGCAAATTCTGCAGTTTGAGTTTTTTTTCTACTGGGCATGCAATGCATATCCTACCTTATCTTGTGTATTGTCAAAAGCTGTAAAGTGTACTATTCTTTTTTCTTACAACCAATAAATAATCACAAGGTCCCATCAATGCAAAACATAAATGAAATTCCCTCCCAGTTGTCAATGCTCTAAAATTTTTCCCCATTGGTAAATTACAATGCTTTAACCAGAAATGCTCAGAGAAGTCACCAAGACAGGCGAACAAGGAAGATCCCCGTGGATGAATATGTAATTTGTGACGCAGATGAAGATTTAAATCAACTTAATACTGCAACGGAAGGATGACAAGTAGAGTCCTAAAAGAGAAAATTAAAATTAATGATAATTAGAGAAATATAAATATTGATTCAAATAGTTGCAGATATTGATTCCCTTTTTTGGACTTAATTGCCGTTCTCCCCACTTAAATCACTTTATGCTTAGCTTCAGAAGCTTTAAGCTAATGTAAAATACAGACAGTGAATCTATTTGTTTACAGGAAAAATATAATAAAATTTCTTTAAATTATATAAATAATAATTTAATTTTTTAAAATATCATAATATTTTAAAATATCATAATATTCATAAAGTCTCTAGAGACTTTTTTATTTTTTATTATTAAGGAATGAATGTAAATAATTAAATTACCCTTAATTTAAAATTTCAAATGCAAACTTGTGAATTACTTTTTCATTCTTGCAATTTTAAGAAAAAAATTATAAATTTTAAAATAAAACTTGTAAATAATAATTAATATTTGCAATACTTAACAAATATCAGGATATTAAATTCAAACTTTTAAAGTGTTAATGAATTTTTGCAATTTAAAAAAAATGTCATAAATCTTAAAATAAAACTTGTAAATGATAATTAATATTTAAACAAAGAGTAATCTAATCATTTATATTAATTTTTTAATGACAAAAAATTTTTTAAAAACTTTATTAATATTATAACATTTTGAGATATTAAATTGTCAAGATATATTATCATTTTGCCTTAGTTTATATCATTCCACACACGTATCGACAGCAAACTTATAAATTCTCTACAAGCTGCAGCTTTTTCTTCTTTCCCCAGTTCTTCATTGACAAATGAAGCAAATAATATATGCTTTATTTAAATCTAAATGCAATAAAAGATAAAATCCTAATTTAAAACAAACAAAATCCCATATTCCCATATCCTTTTCTTTGCCAATTTAGCCGACCCTAATTCCTATTCCTTGTTCGAGACATCAAGCACCCGCAACACAAAGCTTGTTTATCTCGTTAGCCAGCTTTACAGCAACTCAATTTGAATAGAAGAATCCTTTTCATCAGTAAGAGTAATTAGCAACCAAAGTCCATCATCTCCAAAGGAATTTTAAGGCCAACGACTTGCCCAATGACGGAGAACCATGAAACCAGATAATGTTCAATCTTCAGACCATTTGTGGTCAAAGACTTGTCACTAGAAAAAAGCAGCTTCATCCACTCACTTGTCCCACATGGATGTAATTTGCACCATGGCCTGTTCAGATATGGATGCTCCTACAGGATATATAACATTAAAACCATTAGGGGTATATTCCAAGGCTTATAAGCAAAACATGCAATTAAGCGTTAAGATAAACTATTCTCCTATTATAATATTGTTCTGAGCTTAACGGGAAACGTTTTTACTAACTTGCACCTCTCTAGAGTGATTCCTTGTGCGTTACTTTTATGAGCAGCAGGTCGGCTTGCAAAAGTATGATTTTGTGCCATTGATATTCATTTTAGTTATTTGTAATATAAACACATAAATAGGGAAAGATTTCTATGTGACTATAAACAAAAGGAAAAAACCCATTAAAATAAGTTCACTTTAATATACAAGGTACTGTTGGACATCCCACAAGTTTAGTTCGTTAATTACATTCTCCTTTCACTTCTACTCATAAAATTCCTTTCATTAATAAATCAAAGGCAAAGAATGCAAGGACTCGAAATTCATATATAACTTGGCAGTCTCAATAAAAATAAATAAATAAGCAAGAACCAAAGCATAGATGCTTAACCAAAAAAGGAACTTACAAAAGATAATGAAAACAATTCTTTTACTGCAAAAAGAGAGATAAGAGGCATATGGTTACTTACCTCTTGAGTTATGAACGTCCATTTTGATTCAGATAGCAACTTCACAGAGTGGCCAGGAAGGCCCTTTTCAATTTCACTCAACAGCAAAGGTTGTCCATCTATGTAATCCGAATGTCAAAAAGTATCACACATTGTGAACATCATTTTCCCAGTTAAAAGAAAATTTAAATTACATTTTTATCTATAAATTTATAAAATTGTCCCTTTACGCAAAGTCGAGGAAATTCTACCTGAAGCTAGTTCAGAAGGTTCGGTGGGTAAAGATTCAGATAATAGGTTCCAAGTTCAGCACTCTTCTTGAACAAAATATAACTAATTCTGTGTGTTTCTAATGATATACTAGACTACATAAGTTTTTATATATTACTGCTTACAACTTCACAGAGGGACCAGGAATGCCCCTTTCAATGGATAGAAAGGTTGTTCATCTACATAATCAAACAGCATTGCATCTCCCTCGCTGTTAACATTATTTTCTTGATTAAAAAATTTGAATTATATAGAAACAAAAAATGTAGACATAAATTTAGGTGATAACGCAACTCTGATCTTAGAAATACAGTTATGTTTTTATACTATCAGGCAATAGAAACGTTGGCAGAGACCTAACTGAACTTATTCATGTTCCACAAAATTAAAAGTTTTAACCCAAGTATTCAAAGGCTTAGGTACCAAAATCCAACTGTGGCTTCAATTAGATTGAAAATAGTGCCAGTGTCCTAAATGTCCACCCCCACCCCACAACACCTAAGGACAGCAATACGATCTTTTATTTAACCCGCCTCTTTAAGCATTCATATCTAATGACAAACCAATTGCAAAAGAAAATCATTCACTCAGGTTTACAGCTAAATAGCCATAAGGTGGTATTTTGTTTCAAGTGGTTCCAATTTTGAAGTTCCAATAAAAAATGCAGTCATATATCCAATAGGATATTTATCACAAGCAACATACTTTGTAAGACGATAGGATGGTGAATATACCACTATGATAAGCACGGAAATACAGCACTGGAACCCTGTATGAAGCACTGTAGACTATATGAAAATCATAGTGGTTTATTTCAAGATAATCACTCTCTGCACCCTGCAAAAAGGAATAGAACAATAACAATGAAGAGTACAAAAACTGCCAACAAAAATAATAGTCACCAAATTGATGTAGCATGAAAATTAGTAAGCTACACAATGAAAACCAATTAGGCCATACATACTAATGTGGCACTATCAAATGGTTCTTCATTCTCCAAGACATTGCTTTCTTCTTTCCATGTCAGACTAACAGTATCCTGTTTTTCCTGCACATGACACTTACAATCCAATAACTAACATCGCCTCTAGTTTTAAGGAGTGTAAAAACTGTGTCAAACAGTTCAGCAAAAGTTTTTTAAGGGGAGTATACCTTATGGATTTACAAAAGGATTGGAAAGCTCTTTCAAGCTTATATTAGCTTATTGGCTTTGTTGTTTTTATTAATTCATTATGAGGATTATACCCGCCAATAATTGCCGTCTCTTCTCATCAATAACAACGACGACGACGACAACAATAAAACTTATCTAAAAGAGAAAACAACAGACCTGACTTGATTTTAAAAGGCACATGTTTTCCAGTGACAAATATCCTTCCCCCTGAGATTGAGAGACATACATAGACAAAAAAAACAGAGTAGTTTTGAAGCATCGAGTAATAAAGTTGCAGAACTAAAGAAAAAAAAAAACTATTGCAGAGGCCCACCTCATTAGAAGAAACCAAATAACGTTTTGGACATTTAACCCACAACCATGGAGGGACTGAAGTATTGAATTTTCTCCAATTGTCAGAAAACATATGAGCAGCAAGAAAGAAATCACTTGAAGTGAGAGTCCCATCCCAAGGAAATATGTCTCCCGCAGCCTCTCTTTTGTCCATTACAACCTACATTCAAAATGAGAAGCATTTCAAATATTGAATGACATGATGGAGAATCCACTGCCATTAATAATTCGTATAAGCACAAAAAGGAAAAGAAAAAAAAAATGAAACTGTTGGATATATATAATTCTGACAGAAAGAGAAAGAGAGGGAAAAAGAGGAGGAGGAGGAAGAAGAAAAAGAAGAGAGATAGAAGATAGGGAACAGACAAGGGGGAGAGAGATTGCTGAATCATTCGCCGTATATTCTCATTAGAGTCCTAATCATAATCTTGTTACATAGGTAATCTTATTGATAGACTCTTAATTCTACCTACTCCTCTAACGGCTACTAACAGCCACTAACTAAGCTTTCCCTCCCAACAGCTACTTAACTAATTATAAACTAACTTGTCACAATTACACTTATGTAACAGAAACATAATGGCTTCTTCAAAAGTACAAGGTTGAACATGCAGACAGGTAAAGTACATCATAACATCCTCCATTTCTCACACAAAAGCCTAGCAACTGAGGATGACCCGATAACTTATTAAGTGGGTTAGTTATGATAATTCCACCAATGAATGGAAACCTTAGTACAGGTTATAGGCTTAAGAACAATAATTTTTAGGAATTCCTTAAAGATTAACTATTGGCCTTATAATCCTATCTAGTTTTATTTTCCAGTATAGTTCTAATATCCTATCCATAATTTTAAGAATATCTTTCAGCCTTGGTTATATTTCGACCTCCATACAATAGAAGCGAGGACTTCAGTCTTAATCATTGAATGAATTATTGCATTTTCTCCCATCTACTTACACCTGTATCCTACTTTCTCTCCTAATCCTGCACCAAGTGGTGTCAGAGCCAAGACTGAACTACGCATGCTTTGTTCCTCATAGGCTCTTCTCAAGGGTACCAGAACACACAAACCCAATGATGCGGAAGAACAGACAAGCGTGCCAACATCAAACTTTAGCCACATGATCACTCTTGCTCATAAGAATGTACATGCCCAAGAACATCCAGAAGAAAGAGATGCTAGTCTATAGCCCAGGGAAGTGTTCCACTTAACAAACACCACAACATGCAGGAAGCTAATTACTGTGAGGATTGATCCTAGATCGAGTGTACCCATGCCTCAAAGTAGCCATCATGCAATTGTCCTTCCCCCAAGGTCAGCCAATGCCTGGAGCTACAAGGCCTTGCCCCTTTAAATTAAAATTTAATTTTCACACGACAAAAAAAAAAACAAAGAAAGAAAGAAAGAAGCTTCAGAATTTTTGTTCGCAACAAATTATGAATTCCTTGAGAACAAACCTAAACTGAGATGCTTCAATGGCTTTATTTCTCCTTAACTCAGATAGCTTTGAGATCAGGCTCGATTGCAGAGCCCGCATACCATAAAGCATAAGTATGAATTCCTTGAGAGCAAACCTAAACTGAGATGCTTACCATAAAGCATCTGTATTTGATCATTTCTAATCAAGTTTGAACTCTGGAAAATATGAGTTCCTCTTGTTTCTAGCAATTAATATAATTGAAGATAAACTCTCCCGACCCCACAAGATGCCCAAATCCCAGAGGCATATATATATATATATATATATATCCCAGATGCGGATATAATGGAGAAGAAGGTTGCTGATCGGAACCCTTACCTTCAACCCTTACTTGTCTTGCTAATCTCCAAATGGGAAGCCTATGATTCAAGCCAGAGTATAGCTGCCTTATACATACAGCAATCAGCTCTGCCCCAAAAGAAGATGCAATTTGCAAGACAAGTAGAAACGCCCGCAATTTATCGAAATTATCTTGTGGTAACATAAAATCATCACGGATAGCGATTAAACATGACCAAGAATTGAAATTAACAACAGCATTTCACATTTACGGGAAAAATACGGGCCAAAATAGGGGTAACACTGATCAAAAAACGTAAGGCAGGGAAAGAGGGAAGACCTTCGGCGGGGGGTCAGAGTTGGGATCTCTGCCGCCGTTTGGGGTGGTTGCGGAGGAGCCTCGCACCCTCTTCTTCTCTACTCCTCCTGATTTCTACACACGCAAATTAATTTCTACACACCCTCTTCTTCTCTTATTCTCAACTTGAATATCGCATTAAAAGTAATGCCCTTCCGTCGGAATGACTGAACTAAGGAGAAAGCGGTGGCGAGATCTTGCAATTTGGAGGGGAGATGATTAAAATTTTCTCTCCCCTCCCCTCCATTGTAATTTTGCCAAACAAGCGGAGGGGCAAAACAATTAAAATTTTCCCTCCCCTCCTTTCAAACAAGGCATTAGTCACGTAAAAATTCATAATTTAGTGTGTCATCATCACTTATGTAGTAGCATTAGCACTCTCAATGTGCTCTTGCAAATGAGTGAGATGTATATCACACAACTAATGTGAATAATTTTATTAGGAAGTGCCATAATTATTGTCCTTGTGCAATCATTAATTAATGAATTTTTTGATTGGTTCTTGTACAGGGGACACCTTACAAGGGATGAGATTACTAACAATCTTGCTTTACAAGATCCTTGCCATGTCTAGTCCTTTGCCTTTAGGAAGAGATTAATGGGTGGATCAAAGGACTGACAGTATGCAACTTATAGGAAGAGATTATCATAAGAAATGTCGTCTTATATATACAAGCAAGTAAAATTATTCTACAATATAATTTTATAGGACCTTTCTTAATCTTTTTGGGCTTTTGTATAGTTTTGGTCATTTAATCTCTCTCATATTGACCTTTTTTTTTCCCTCTGTGTTTCAGTAATTGATAATTTCTTCTTCTTTTGAATCGTAATTCATTAAATTTAATGTTTTTCAAGATCAATTTAGTTTTTTCCTTTTGACATAAGAAATTCCTTCAACTTATTTTAATCTTTTATTTTTTCCACATTTCATATTCATTGGTCATTTGTATGATGTATAATACGTGCAAAAGGCACGGGGGATTCAATGAATTGGTAAATTAGACTTCATCGCATTCACTCAAATTACTATAACAAAAAATAATTTGATATGGGAGAAAAAGAAATTTACCTGATGGAGAAGATGCCTCGTGGTTTTTTTTTTTTTTTTTAATCTTTTAAATCTACATTTTGTTGGTTACAATGGTCATCGAAATAAGGTATGTTTGTCTTCAAGTTCACGGTCAAGTTGGAAGAAATTGCACATGGAACTCAATCATCTGTGAAGAAAGATGTTTGACTAGAATATAAATGACTGATGGATTTTCTAATAGTTTTTATTAAGATTTTCCGAGACAAGAAGAGAAAAGATAATTATGCTTTACAAACCTATCCTACTATAAAAATCAGTTGAAACGATTTTATTTCTTATGCATCCATCATATGGTATTGTCGTATTGGTTTGATATATAAGAATAATTGACATATAATTTATTCTTGGATCACATGTTTATTGACTCTTTTTTCTATGCTGAAATTTGTTACTTAAAAATAACAATTACTTACAATTACTCCTTTCCAACTCTATTATAGGTATATCTACTATTATCTCATCCAAAATTAAGTGGAGATAGATAAATTAATAATTTTGTCTGAAATAAAATAAATTTTAATTTACCCAAATTAAATAAAAAGTTAAATCATTCAATGGAATATACATTTCCCAACATGTTATTGAAATGCATTTAGCCTAACAGAGCAATTAATAATTATGAACTCTTTCATTTCTAATTTCATTCTTCTCATTACTCTGCAATTCTCTTGATTGTTAAAATTTCAATCCAATGTAATTTTTGTTTAAACTTTTTATATACAAAACTAAATTTTTACTTTTTACAATAGTTTTCATTCTCTTAATTTAGAATTTCATTTTTTTTTCTCTTTAAATTAAAAACGAAAAAAAAATCTTCGACATGTTTAATAAGACAACTTCATTATGGATGATCTAGCCAATATTTAAGTCACATACTCCCTCCTTTTTAATTATTAGAAAACTATCATTTTTTAGTTGCATTTTTTTCCTAAGTACAATCACCCATTTTAATAAGCATTTATTATATATTTTTTAAATCATCCCTTATAATTTACATCAATAAAAAATAATTAATGCATGTTTATGTTAATTAATATAAAGTATTTAGTTTAATTTTTTATTTTTAAACATAATTTATTATAATTAACTGATTTTTTTAAACTCTGTGATATAAATTATATATATATATATATATATAAATAGAAGAAGTATTTTTTTTGTCCACGCTTAAACGCGTACACGAGTGATTTTCATAAATGTCTTTTTATTGTCATAAATATTATTATCTATATTACTTTATATAATTTTCTTAAATAAAAAATCGGTGCTTAATCCGTGTTGCACGAATCCAAAACTAGTCACAACATATATGATGTGCGAATTGTGTGGAATTAATGAAGGGGAATATGAGAAATCAGAAAAGAATGGTTGGCAGGAATTTCAACTCCTCATTGACTTGAGTCCATCCTTTGAATGTTAGACCTAACAGTGGATAGCTATCCACGTTAGCGTCCCGATCCTCTTCCTCTTGCAAAAGAAAGCTCGTTTGAAGTGTTTCATTTCCTCTTACCTCATCCGTTCCATGGCTTTCTTCGTCTTCTACGTCTTCCTCCAAACGGCCAAAACGGATTTACGGACGACGTCGTCTTGAGTTTCAGAGGCGAAGACATTCGTAACAGTTTCGCT